ACGCGCATTTATGAAACGCATTTACGACGAGCAGTTATGACACGCAATGCGTATCAAGGAAGTCCTTGTCATAAAGGAAGACGACACGCGTGTTTATGACACACAATGCGTATCAAGGAAGCCCCTGTCATAAATGAAGATGACACGCATTTGCGTGTCATAAACTTCAGTAACCATTTTCGATATGCATTTACGACACGTCTTCACGATACTCATTTACGCATAATACAAAAATTTGTAAATAAATATATACCAAAACAATCAATTTCGTCCAATAACATCATGTCAAAAATTTGTAATACATTGATATTAAGGGGATCTAATTATACATTGTTATTAAGAGGTTTTCTCTAACTATATAACCTTATACTACATTGCTATTAAGAGACACCTTCTGCAATGTAATGCTATACAAACTAAGAGAATATACACAAAGATGATAAACATCAAATTCCAACTAAGTAGAGTTGCATCTTGCCTTTCATAATTCATTAAGACTAATGAACCCCTGCTCCGATAATTCTTGTGACCTGATCAAATAAAAGTCAAAAAATTAATATGCTAATATAATTATTAGAAGAATCAAACATGAAATGTTAGTTGTAAAAGACGAAATTACCCTTTTCTCCATCCAAAGAATGTGGGACCGCACTTGAGATATGGTATTTGATCCATATGGTGTTTCGGGTTCCATTAAAATATAAAGTATTTATCAAGTTTAATATTCAACCATTAAATGTAAGCTTGAAGCCTTCTAATAAGATGACAAAAGTGATCAACAGGATAAAAGAGATGATGGTCCGCTAGTTTGATTTTTTAGATTTTGGGTCCCGAAAGCATGACAAAACAACATTTTAAGGACCAATGATTAAAAATAAAACTGTTGGACCATACTTGTAAGAAACAGCAAACCAAAGGGACGAAAAATGTAATTAATTGAAAGATACAGAAAAAAACAAGACCTGAACATTGTGGCCACATTCTCTCATAACATTCAAACATTTCCTTCTTGTTAAAATTGTTTAAGCTGAATTTGCAAGGAAAGAAGGGATATAATCTTTCAGACTGTATCTTTGTCTCCAATACATAGCATCATAATCTTGGGTTAGGCTCTCCTATAGCAGCAGGGGTAAAATCGTACTTTTTAGCATGTGTAAAAATAAGATTGTATTTTTTGAAAAACTTTGTAGGAGGGGTAAAAAAATAGTACTTTTTAGAGAGATTTGTTCTCAGCAATGAAGAACTCATCATGAGGATCATCAATAACTCCTTCATACACTCATCTGCATATAGCCAATATATGGACAATATTGAGTTTTGGAAAATTGCAGAAAATAGCAACATACTTTCTATATTCGTAAAGGGGTAAAATAGTACCTTTTGGAGTATATAATTGGGCATTCTGACTTTACATATACCTTTCAAGTATGCCAAGATAAGCGGAATTTGCAAACTCTATCATCTTCTCAAGCAATGATCTCACCAAATAGTTAGCAGCCATTATCTTGGCCTGTTTAAATTTAAAATATATAAATAAATAAATAGCATATAAAATATTTTAGTTTAGTTTATTGACATACATACCTGACTTGTAGAAGGTTAAGAACTGCTGAACCCACAAAATTACTTGTTGATGCCTTTCTTATTAATGACATACCTTACGAAGAATAGATGCAGATTCCAAAAGATGTTGGACAGTATAGTCCTTACAGCTTAAAATTTGAAGCATAACTCTTCTGAATGCCATGAATGGTTCTAACAGGCTCATATGTAACTGTGCACGATTCAGAATGCAGCTCCATTTCGTATTCAGCTGCATAAAATAAACATCATAGTGAAATAAACTCACAATGGCTGACTTAGCGACAACAAGGTGGTCAATTGGAAGCCAATAAACCTAGGAAATATAATGAAATAATAGTAAATTATAAAATGGAGCATATATATCATACTTCATTTAATAAATGTTCATTTTATAAACAGATTGGTTCCTGTTCTTCAACCTCCCTCCCTTCCAGATGTTTCCGCTTCTTCATATCTAAAATTAATTATTATAAACTATTAATTAAATTCAACATCCCAAAAAAATAAAAAATAAATATTGGGGATTCATACCTTTGTCGAATTCGAAGATTCGTTCCAGATCGTGTGTGTTTATTTCATCCGAAACAGGACATGAACACCTGGTAAAAATAAAATATTATTTATTAGCATAAATAGTCTTTTGATTTGTAATAATATATTTATTGATTGATTACCTATCGGGATCCCAAACATTATCAGAGCAAGTCCATTTTGAAGGAAGAAGAACATCAGAAGGCATCTGTCACATTGATCCCATTGTTCTTGTGACCTGGAACCACAATAGGATAAGTTTAAGGGATGTTTGGCTTAGCTTTTCACAGCCCAAAAGTTCTTTTTGGAAAAATTACAAAAAGTCAGGATTTCTTGACTTTTCCAAAAAGTTCATTTTCCTTGTATAAAAACTCCAAAAGTAGCTTTTAAAACTAGTTTTGCAAAACATCTTTTGCTTTTTTTTTTTTTTTTTTCTAAAAAGGACTTTTGGGCTGTGAAAAGCTAAGCCAAACACCCCCTAATTTTTCCCCAACATCAGAGGCTAAATTGATAAAATGATGAAAATACATTCAGCTTTTTTGTATTTTGCCCTTTTAATAGCTAAATGGATAAAATAATAAAAGTACAAGTGTTTTTCTTTATTTTGCCCTAGAAAAAAAGGGTTTATAGCAACCGACTATTTTGTATGTTCTTATTTAGCCACTTTAGTCATTTGGCGTCCACATGACGGTTCTTATTTAGTCACCTCAATCATTTTATTATTTATTTTTAATATTTACTACGTAATATTTAACAAATTATTATATATTATTTGAATGAAGAAAGCTCTCAGTGTAAAACTATAAATGAACATATTGATCTATTTTTGTCTTCTATACATGTTAAATCAAACAGAAGCACCACCGACGGTTGTGATTTTGGATGAAGCCCGATTTAAATGGTGGTGTTTAGTACAACTATAGTGATTAGTTTCCTTTTCTATTAAAATGACTAAATGAGTCAGTTGGTTGCTATATTATGGCATAAACCCTAGAAAAAAATGATAAAAATCAGGTGAAATACGCAGAAGTGAGTCTTGCATTTTTCCACCAATCACAAGCAATGGATGACTGCAGAGTTTCAGTAAAAACTGAAGAGCCTGCAACAAAGTATTTGTTTGTAATAAGATAATATATTCATGATGAACAGAGATGGACATACAATTATCAGGTTATACCTGGAAGACATGAGAAGATGTTTTGGATGCATCTTTTCCTTCACCTTCCCATGTTTCTGTTTCTGTTTCGTTTGATTGGACCATAGTGGAAATTTCATTTTTGACATGTGAACCTGAAAACTGTTCATAAAGTTTAAGTTGAACTGGACTCAAGTCACAGTATCTATCTTGAATTATTTTCTCTGGTAGATCTGTCAACACTTGATCTTTTGTGCGACACAAGAGGAAAGGCATCACCTACAATGTAAATTATTATTATTATTATTATGATTATGATCATGATATGCATTGGCAGATGAAGGAAAAATACCTGTTTGTGCAATGCTTCCATGGCAAGTACACCTACTTCAGCATCCTTGGCTGAACATTTAGAATCACGAGCTGCAGCTAGTGGTTTCCCATAAGTTGCTTGAAACTACAAAATCACCCATAATCAGTTGCATTGCATAACATATTATATTAGTGTAAATGATATAAAAACATAACATAATATATCATACCTGTCTCACTGTTCCAAGAAATCCAGGCATCAGAAAGTCAAAAATAGACCACAACTCCAACACATTATTCTGCATAAAACAAACCACAGTCAGAATAACTAAACTAATCAAATCTCCAAATCAATGAGAATATAAACAAACCTGAATTGGTGTTCCACTTAATATAAGCATGTGTTGTGCTTTGAGCTGTTTGACAGCACATGTGATTTTTGATTTTGCATTCTTAATTATATGCCCTTCATCCAAAACACAATAGTTCCAAAACATCTGTATCAAATGCTCAAAATCTTTACGAATCACATCATAAGAAGTTACAATGACATTGTAGTTTTGAAACTGTGAACGCAATGCAACACGTTCTTGTGAAGAACCAACGTATTGGAGTGAAGATATAACAGAGGCATCAATGAATTTTTCAATCTCATATACCCAATGTCCAACAAGGGTAGATGGGCAAATGATTAAAGATGGAGGGTCCTCACTGTTATTTGAAGTTCTTAGTTCCACAATATCAAATGCCATAATTGTTGATGCTTGTAGGGTTTTACCAAGCCCGATATCATCACATAAAATTCCATGAAGGTTAAACCTCTTTAAAAAGGCTAACCAGTTTATACCCTCTTGCTGATACCTTCTCAGGGTGACTTTCAACTCAGTAGGAACATTATAATCATCAATACGTGAGTTATCAACAAGTTGCTCCAAGAACTCAACATCATCACTACTTCTAGACAACAAGCACTCACTCAATCCAGGAGGAGGAGAGACACCCCTTGCAAGGGGCAAAAAAAGGACAAGGGAAGCAAAGCTGTGTGTGACACTTCTTCTAACAGAATGATCACAATCACTCATACACCTTAAAAGAGGGACAACTAACAGGTGAAAAGAAGTCTTACCCAGGAATATCATACGCATCGATTGAATCAGAAACCTGCCGTTTGATACACCATGTGCAATCCAAGCCACAATCTCTTAAGAAACATGGCGGATATAATACAAGAGAATTTAAATAGAAAGACGATGAAAAACGGAACAAATTACAAACCTGCTTTTTATAGATATTAAAGTAGATATTGAAAAGGTACCAAAGCCCAAACAATGATCCTAGCACAACTGTTTCAGCCAACTTCGACTTCCTCGCAGTCGCCGCCTCAACGCCTTCGACACTTTCAGGAACCGACGCATCTTTAACCTCGAAACCATCAGATTCACGCTTTCTAGGTTAAGAGAAACATCGAATTGAAGGCAATCTACGAGTAAGTCGATGATTGTTGTTGAGAAGTGTCGAGATAAAGATAAAGTAGGGCTTGTAAACCAAACCATACCTTAATCGTAGCTAGGGCTTGTAACGCTGAGTAGTTGTTGCAGTCTTCGGTGAGGTGAGGTGAGCCCGAGGTCGGCGGTAAAAAGAGATGAGACGAGGTCGCTGGTGGAAAGAGATGAGCTGAGGTCACCGGTGGAAAGAGATGAGCTGAGGTCGCCGACAGCAGGTGAGGTGAGGTAGCGAATGTTACAGAGAGCACTCCTTGAAAAAGCCTTAGATAATGGTCCCTGCAATTTTGTGATAAGAGAAATAGTCCGGACATACGCGTTCATTTTAAAAATTATAAAGGGACATGCTCACATGACACACTATTTTTAAAAGGTGCCCTCCGTGTTTTTTTTTTGTGTTGACACTAATTTTAGGGCACGAAAAAATGTGTGACCTAAATTCTTCAAATTTTAGAGGAGATGACATTATTTTTAGGACGTACACTTTTGCGTATCGCAAATCACTGCGTGTCATGGTTTGCGTGCCATTAAAGGCCTATATTCTAGTAGTGTTGGATGAGACCTTTAGGACTCCTATTTTGAATGTTGGTATCTTCAATAATAATGATATTTCTTCTAATACTAACCAAAAAGAAAGTATAAGCCCTTTAGTTGAATGATAAATTAGGTAACTAAGACAGATGGTTTCCACCGTTCCCGGAGTAGTCCACCCGATTCCTAAAGTGTCCCCAGCGAGCCACCAGATGTTAAGATTTGTACCAAACATCGGTGATGTGGAAATCTTGAAGAGATTCCAGACATCAAATATGTAGTTGTATGATGGGTCTATGGATCTTGGGGAGTATGTCACCCACTACCGGAAAAGAATGGAGATCATTCCCATGGAGCTCAAGGAAGCTTGCTTGTGTAAAGGATTATGATCAGCATTTATCGATCCATGCCTGAAATGGCTGTTAAATGTTCCTTCGTATTCTATTATATCATAAACTTCATCTTAGAAGGATCAAACATTTGTGGCACAACCTATTCCAGGGAAAATAGGCATGCAAAGGAGTCAAAGATGGAAAAAGAAGAGGGCCCAAGAAGCAACATAGCAATCACAGACAAAATGAGGTAATGTTTTCTGAAGATGAGAGGGAAAACATCTTGGGTCCTCATCATGACAGATTAGTGTTGACCATATACATTCCAAACCATTATGTTAAAAGAACTCTAGCAGATGGAGGTAGCTATTTCAACATAATCCTTAGAGAGACCATGCAGAAGATGAACAACTTGAAAATCAAAAATCTTTCCCAAATCTTCAGTACTAGTCGGATTCAGTGGTGAGACCAAAAACACCCTGGGAGAAATTAAATTGCCAATCTATGTAGGAGGAATAAACTCTATGCAAAGATTCTACATCATGGATTCCCTATCCTGTTACAACGTTATCTTGGGTCAAACCTGGATCCACGAAATGAAGGCAGTTCCCTTAACATATCATCAATGTGTCAAGATGCTAGCACCTTGGGGAGTAATCTTGATCCTTGGAGACCATCAAGAAGCTAAGAATTTCTACACATCTTCAATGAAATCTTCGACAACTCCTAAACAAGCATATAGATTAAAATCAAGAAGCATCAGAAGTCCTAGAGGTAAAGGGGTAAGCATTGAAAGAAGTATTTGTGGACCCCCTTGACCAGTAAATCAAGATACTATTAGGGACGAATCTTCCCCGAGATTTATACAAAGATCTTATTTGGCAAATAAAATTTGGGATCTTACCAAGATTTTACAACCAAATCCAGATTCCAAAGTTAGCAAAGGGTCAAAAGAGGAATACGATCTTTCTACCATAGAAGGAAGCATCCTGCCAAGATCCTAGAGCACAATCCACCTCAAGATTTACTCCATGTAAATCAGTAATCTTGACCCAATAAATCCTAAATAAAAGGTACACATCCCTTTACTCATAATTCACTTATATATTTTTACTCTCTAAAACATGATATTGACTTAAGCATCGGAGGGGAGTTGGCTAAGTCAACGCCCACCTCTTACGGGTTTATGTTTTATAAACAGTGAAATCAAGATTTTATCCAGGATCTTGCCTAGAATCTTTAATAAGATTTCCAACATAGAGATTGATCACCTTTCTTATGCTTAAGGTATCAAAATCCTTTCTAAGGTTTAAAGGTATTCACCATTCATTTGATTTGGGATTAGACATCTTGTTTAAAATCACATTATCTTAGAATATATATATATATATATATATATATATATATATATATATATATATATATATATATATATATATGAGTGGACCAATATACTGAAAGGTGTATTGACAATCTCCTTAAGACTCTCCATATTCTAGATCTAAGAGTAATTTCAATGGCATAACATTTTCATGTTATACACCCGTTTGGGCATGACCCCAATAATAATTTTAATAGCATAACATTTTCATGTTATACATCCGTTTGGGAGTGTCCCCAGTAAATCTTAAGAAAACCCTCTTGGGAGTATCCCCAACAAATTTTGGGAGAATCTCCTACAAATCTTAAGAAAATATTCCGTAAATCCCAGGAATATCCGCAATGGATTTTAGGAAAATTCTCAACATATTTTGAAAATGTCCCCAAGAAAAGCTTAAGTAAATTGCTTTGAGGAACCCTCAATGATCTTGCAACATTATGGAAACCACTACGATCCTATACAAATCCTTCAAGGATTCCTAACAAATATCATAAAAGTTTCAAGAACTTGATTGAATATTTAAACAAGGGTTCCAAAGGCATATGAGCAAGAAATCACATGAACGTTATTAAGAATTAGCACCTAAGACTTCTCCAAGATTCGGTCAAAACTCCAATCAGGTTCTATCTGTCCAAAGTCTATTATTATCGCATTTTGATTATGTCCCAGTATTATGTGATCGTTCTAAATTTAGTTAATAATCTAAGCTCCTTAAAAAATTGTTACGTATCAATTACGAATCATAAAATCACCTCAGGATCTTTAACAAATTCTTTGTGAAAATCCTACATTAGTTTGAATAGGTAAAACTTGTAATCACCTCAAATCATTCCCTAATAAGGTTTTTTGTCATTTATTATTTCATGAATACTCTTTTGGTAAATTCATAAAAATACCCTAGATCATGAACCATAATTTATTTCGGGATTCACAACTAAAACCAAACCATAAAAAATATCCCAAGTACATTGTCCATATGACATTTCGACTTATCACCTAAATAAGTTTCAGCCGTAGTAAGAGCTTTGACAAAATTTTAGACAAAAGTCTTTGTTTTATCATAACACCTCCATTGGATAGTTGAATAGTTTATTTTGCCTTTAAATCTTAACAAGAACTTCTTCTTTCCAAAAGTTTTGAAAGATTCTTGATGAAATCTTTGTCAAATTTCCATCGAAATTATTGATAAACCTTCTTTTGAAGATTTTCAATAATTTTTAGCTAGTTCCTATCAGAGCCAATGGAAATCATTTAAAACCTTTTTTGTCATTAGATCCCTTCAAAATAGTTGGTCATTTCTCAGGATTCTCAAAACTTATCAAACATCCTAAGAGAATTTTTTTTCGGAATCTTTAGTCAATCCTTATTAAGATCTTTGAAAAGATTCTGAAGATTTTTAAACATTTTCAGCAAATAGATCTTACCTACTGGAGCACATAAATACAAATAAAAACAAACATCATATTAAAAGGCAAACCTTCTTTTGAATATTTTCAATAATTTTAAGTTAGTTCCTATCAGAGCCCTTGGAAATCATTTAAAACCTTTTCTGTCATTATATTCCTTGAAAATAGTTGGTTATTTCTCAGGATTCTCAAAACTTATCAAACATCTAAAGGGCATTTTTTTCGGAACCTTTAGTTAATCCTTATTAAGAAAATTAAAGCATAAATCATCTTAAAAACCCCAAAGGGCATCCGCCATAAACCAACATTAAGAAAAAAGTTATTTTAACAAAACCAACAAAGGGGAAAATAGTAATCATAAACAATTGAAACTAGGAAGAAGCTCCCTTCTTCTCTTCATGTGCTTCTCCTCCTTCACCCTTCTCATCCTTTTCAACATCCATATCCATTTCCTTGCCCACATCCTCCTCGGTATGCTCCAATGTGCTCCCAACCGCTTCAATAATAACCTTCTTGGAACCTTTACTGTGACAACCGTCAAAATTGAGTCAAGTCAAAGTCAAACAAAGTCAACAAGTCAAAACCAATCGACTCAATTAACCCTTGTATATTAGGGTTTACACTATGTAATTACTGTACAATGCAATATTTTAATGAGAGAAACATTATTTGGAAAGTTCGTGTGTTGAATTTCCTAAGTCTCAAATGCAGTAAACATTGAACCAAAACGATAAAAAAATTATTGCACACTCATCGGGAGTGTGTACAACACTAAAACACGGTTTAACGGGGTTTACGAACCTTACGTTGTGAAGCCGGACACTCAAATTAATCACAAACGAAACCTCTCTAAATCGTTTTCACTCTATCTCTTTCTATTTGAAATCTCTCCCAAATCTCTCTCAAAAGTTACTTTAACTTTTTGTAATCATTCGGGCCATCCCGACCCTTAACCGGGTCAAAAACCACTTGAAACGGGGTAAAAACGGGTAAAATAACCTTAAGGAACCAAAACCCTCCTATTAGAAGCGAAAACTCTCATGAGAAGCCTCTCAGGACCGAAGCCTCTCAGGACCGAAGCCTCTCATGAGAAGCCTCTCAGGACCGAAGCCTCTCATGAGAAGCCTCTCAGGACCGAAGCCTCTCATTAGAAGCCTCTCAGGACAGAAGCCTCGCATGAGAAGCCTCTCAGACAGCCCATGCGAGAGGTCTCGCAGACGGCCCCTTTTTACCGGTTTTTCGACTACGACTTCGTTTTAACTTCGTTTTTCATTATTTTAACGTGGGATTTTCACCCAAAACTTTATTTTATAAACTAAGGCCCCAAAATATATAAATCTCCATGGTTTTTATAAAAATATATTAAAAGAATTAGTGGACCTTTATAAAAATATATTCGTTTTTCATTATTTTAACGTGGGATTTTCACCCAAAAGCAAACCACCACCACCTCACTCTATGATCAGCCACTCTTTCCCACTACTCCTTGTCACCTTAGTGGACCTTTACACCCAATCTCCAGCTCTTCCCATGTTCTAAGAGCTGGAGGATTGATCCTCTCTCCTCATTCTCCATAAAGTCCTTTCATTCTACACTTAGCAACCAAGAACACTCTCCAAAATTCTCTCATCTTTTCTCTCAACTTCAAGAACTTCAAGGCTTTC